CCAAATACCTGTTTTGTTTAAGTGTATCCCATGCAATATTTGGGACACACTTATGCAACGGAAGTGTTTGCTGTTTATCTGAAAAGATTTTATTTGGAAGCTCCACAGCTGGGGATGCCGTCAGCATGATTTTACTGGAGTGAGTACAGTTAGATCTGTTAGAAGAAGTCAAGTGCCCCGAGTCCCAGGGCAGGAATTACAACACCACACTTTCCTTCAGGAGCTGTCTCAGCTTCCCCTGTTCCTCCTTTAGTCTAGACTGGACTTCTATGTCTGCAATACCCTGTTCATGACCAAACACTGCACAGATGACTTTCCAGAGCCATTTGCCTAGACTTCTCGCAATATCGGTGAGTATCCATTTTTCTGACTTGTAAAATAATACACATTCTTTGATAAAAATTGGAAAATACAGCTCAATAAAAAGAAAAATAAACATTCACCTTAATTGCAGTATATAGATCAGATCCAGACAGACTGAGTTCAAATTCCAGCTTACTAGCTGTATGATTTTAGGCAATTTCCTTAACTTCTCTGTGCCTCAGTTTTTCAATTGTAAAATGAAGGTAATATAGTGGCTTGAATTAATTTTTGAGGATTAAATGAGTTTATATGTGTTCAGGTACTTTAAAAAGTGCCTGGTATATAGCAAGCACTGTGTAAGCACTTTTCAAAAAAAAATGAAAATTCTTTCACCCAGAGATAAGTATTATTGATGTCTTTTCTATGCATTTCTATACATTGTATCATATAGATTTATACCATAGATTTCCATACAGTGGTAGGGTGCATTTTCCAAAGTTGAACGTAATGATTCTCCTGTCCAACATGTTCTTCTGCAAGGTGGTCTGGACACTTCTCCATCAAGAGGTGGAATCAATTCCTCTCCCCTTGTATCTAGGCTTTTTTAAAGTTTTCTGGTCAACAGAATGCAGCAGCAGTGGTATTCTGGGACTTCCAAGGCCGGACAGAGGAGGCTTGTGGTTTCTGGTTCCCTCTCTGGCACACTCACCATTGGGTACTCACCATTGGGTACTTCCTCTTGGAATCCACCCTCAAGCCAAGGCACATGGAAAGACTTCATGTAGGTGCTCTGCTCAGTTCAGCAGCTGAGTGGCCTGCTGGCAGCCAGCTTCACCTGCCAGCCCATGTGAGTGGGTCAGACCAGCTGTCTACAACGGCATGAGAGACCCCAAACAAGAACCACACAACTGAGCCCAATTGAACCATAGAGCCATGAGGGATAATCATCAATTATTGTTTGGAGCCACTAAGTTATGAGATGGTTTACTACAAAGCGATAGAGATCTGGAAACATATTTAAGGAAAGTGCCTAAGATCCTGAGTTTTATTATTCATTTATTTATTTAACATCTTTATTGGAGTATAATTGATTTACAATGGTGTGTTAGTTTCTGCTGTATAACAAAGTGAATCAGCTAACCATATATATATATCCCCATATTTCCTCCCTCTTGCATCTCCCTCCCACCCTCCGTATCCCACCCCTCTAAGTGGTCACAAAGCACTGAGCTGATCTCCCTGTGCTATGTGGCTACTTCCCACTAGCTATCTATTTTACATTTGGTAGTGTATATATGTCCATGCCACTCTCTCACTTCAGCCCAGCTTAACCTTCGCCCTTCCTGTGTCCTCAAGTCCATTCTCTACGTCTGCATCTTTATTCCTGTCCTGCACCTAGGTTCTTTAGAACCACTTTTTTTTTTTAGATTCCATATATGTGTTAGCATATGGTATTTGTTTTTCTCTTTCTGAATTACTTCACTCTGTATGACAGATTCTAAGTCCATCCACCTCATTACAAATAACTCAATTTCGTTTCCTTTTATGGCTGAGTAATATTCCATTGTATATATGTGCCATATCTTTTTTATCCATTCATCTGTTGATGGACACTTAGGTTGCTTCCATGTCCTGGCTATTGTAAATAGAGCTGCAATGAACATTGTGGTACATGACTCTTTTTGAATTATGGTTTTCTCAGGGTATATGCCCAGTAGTGGGATGGCTGGGTCGTATGGTAGTTCTATTTGTAGTTTTTTAAGGAACCTCCATGCTGTTCTCCATAGTGGCTGTATCAATTTACATTCCCACCAACAGTGCAAGAGGGTTCCCTTTTCTCCACATCCTCTCCAGCATTTATTGTTTGTAGATTTTTTGATGATGGCCCTTCTGACCGGTGAAAGGTGATGCCTCATTGTAGTTTTGATTTGCATTTCTCTAACGGTTAGTGATGTTGAGTGTCCTTTCATGTGTTTGTTGGCAATCAGTATATCTTCTCTGGCAAAATGTCTATTTAGGTCTTCTGCCCATTTTTGGATTGGGTTGTTTGTTTTCTTGTTATTGAGCTGCATGAGCTGCTTGTAAATTTTGGAGATTAATCCTCAGTCACTTGCTTCATTTGCAAATATTTTCTCCCATTCTGAGGGTTGTCTTTTCATCTTGTTTATGGTTTCCTTTGCTGTACAAAAGCTTGAAGTTTCATTAGGTCCCATTTTTTTATTTTTGGTTTTATTTCCATTTCTCTAGGAGGTGGGTCAAAAAGGATCTTGCTGTGATGTATGTCATAGAGTGTTCTGCCTATGTTTTCCTCTAAGAGTTTTGTAGTGTCTGGCCTTACATTTAGGTCTTTAATCCATTTTGAGTTTATTTTTGTGTATCGTCTTAGGGAGTGTTCTAATTTCATTCTTTTACATGTAGCTGTCCAGTTTTCCCAGCACCGCTTACTGAAGAGGCTGTCTTTTCTCCATTGTATACTCTTGTCTCCTTTATCAAAAATAAGGTGACCATAGGTGCATGGATTTATCTCTGGGATTTCTATCCTGTTCCATTGATCTATATTTCTGCTTTAGTGCCAGTACATACTGTCTTGATTACTTTAGCTTTGTAGTATAGCCTGAAGTCTGGGAGCCTGATTCCTCCAGCTGTTTTTCTTTCTCAAGATTGTATTGACTATTCAGGGTCTTTTGTATTTCCATACAAATTGTGAAATTTTTTGTTCTAGTTCTGTGAAAAATGCCAGTGGTAGTTTGATAGGGAATGCATTGAATCTGTAGATTGCTTTGGGTCGTATAGTCATTTTCACAATGTTGATTCTTCCAATCCAAGAACATAGTATATCTCTCCATCTATTTGTATCATCTTTAATACTTTCATTAGTGTCTTATACTTTTCTGCATACATATCTTTTGTCTCCTTAGGTAGGCTTATTCTTAGGTATTTTATTCTTTTGTTGCAATGGTAAATGGGAGTGTTTCCTTAATTTCTCTTTCAGATTTTTCGTCATTAGTGTATAGGAATGCAAGAGATTTCTGTGCATTAATTTTGTATCCTTCTACTTTACCAAATTCATTGATTAGCTCTAGTAGTTTTCTGGTAGCATCTTTAGGATTCTCTCTATATAGTATCATGACATCTGCAAACAGTGACAGCTTTACTTCTTTTCCAGTTTGGATTCCTTTTATTTCATTTTTTTTCTCTGATTGCTGTGGCTAAAACTTCCAAAATTATGTTGAATGATAATGGTGAGAGTGGACAACCTTGTTTTGTTCGTGATCTTAGAGGAAATGGTTTCAATTTTTCACCATTGAGAATGATGTTGGCTGGGGGTTCGTCATATATGGCCTTTATTATGTTGAGGTAAGTTCCCCTTATGCCTATTCTTTGGAGGGTTCTTATCATAAATGGGTGTTGAATTTTGTTGAAAGCTGTTTCTACATCTATTGAGAATATCATATGGTTTTTTTCCTTCAGTTTTTAAATACGGTGTATCACATTGTTTGACTTGCATATATTGAAGAATCCTTGCATTCCTGGGATAAACCCCACTTGATCATGGTGTATGATCCTTTTAATGTGCTGTTCTATCCTGTTTGCTAGTATTTTGTTGAGGATTTTTGCATCTATGTTCATCAGTAATATTGGCCTGTAGTTTTGTTTCTTCGTGACATATTTTTCTGGTTTTGGTATCATATGATGGTGGCCTCGTAGAATGAGATTGGGAGTGTCCCTCCCTCTGCTATATTTTGGAAGAGTTTGAGAAGGATAGGTGTTAGCTCTTCTCTAAATGTTTGATAGAATTCACCTGTGAAGCCATCTGGTCCTTGTCTTTTGTTTGTTGGAAGATTTTTAATCACAGTTTCAATTTCAGTGCTTGTGTTTGGTATGTTTATTTTTTCTATTTCTTGCTGGTTCTGTCTCAGAAGATTGTGCTTTTCTACGAATTTGTCCATTTTTTCCAGGTTGTCCATTTTATTGGCATATAGTTGCTTTTAGTAATCTCTCATGATCCTTTGTATTTCTGCAGTCAGCTGTTACTTCTCCCTTTTCATTTCTAATTCTATTGATTTGAGTCTTTTCCCTTTTTTTCTTGATGAGTCTGGCTAATGGTTTATCAATTTTGTTTATGTTACTGTTTTGTTTATGTTACTGTTAGTGTTGTCTGCACTGATAGCTGCAGCTCGCACCCGTCTCTGGAGCTCCTTAGGCGGTGCTCTGAATCCCCTCTCCTCCCACACCCCAAAACAATGGTCTCTTGCCTCTTAGGCAGTTCCAGACTTTTCCCCAAACTCCCTCCCAGCTAGCTGTGGCACACTAGCCCCCTTCAGCCTGTGTTCATGCAGCCAACCCCAGTCCTCTCCCTGGGATCTGATCTCCAAAGCCCGAGCCTCAGCTCCCAGCCCCTACCCGACCCCAGCGGTTGAGCAGGCAAGCCTGTCAGGCTGGTGAATGCTGGTCCGCATTGATCCTCTGTGCAGGAATCTCTCTGCTTTGCCCTCTGCACCCCTGTTGCTGTGCTCTCCTCTGTGGCTCTGAAGCTTCCCCCCTGCCATCCCCTGTCTCCACCAGTGAAGGGGTTTCCTAGTGTGTGGAAGCTTTTCCTCCTTCACAGCTCCCTACCAGAGGTGCAGGTCTGATCCCTAATTTTTGTTTCTGTTTTTTCTTTTTTCTTTTGCCCTACCCAGGTACATGGGGAGTTTCTTGCCTTTTGGGAAGTCTGAAGTCTTCTGCCAGCATTCAGTAGGTGTTCTGTAGGAGTTGTTTCACATGTAGATGTATTTCTGATGTATTTGTGGGGAGGAAGGTCATCTCCACGTCTTACTCCTCCAGCATCTTGAAGGTTTCCCCCCTGAATTTTAAATATGAACCAACGTGGTTTCTATCCTGTTTCGCTATTACTTTCAGAGAAAGGGGACAAGTTCTTTTCTTTTTTTTTCTTAAAAAGTTTTGTTTTAGTTAAAAAAATGTAAAGGATTTTAAAAAGTATTTTATTTTTGGCTTTGCCGTGAGGCTTGTGGGACCTTAGTTCCCTGACCAGGGATTGAACCTGGACCTCAGCAGTGAAAGCATGGAGTCTTAACCACTGGACTGCCAGGGAATTCCCTAATGTTTTTTTTTTTTTTTTTTTTTGTGGTATGCGGGCCTCTCACTGTTGTGGCCTCTCCTGTTGTGGAGCACAGGCTCCGGACGCGCAGGCTCAGCGGCCATGGCTCACGGGCCCAGCTGCTCCGTGGCATGTGGGATCTTCCTGGACAGGGGCATGAACCTGTGTCCCCTGCATCAGCAGGTGGACTCTCAACCACTGTGCCACCAGGGAAGCCCGAATTCCCTAATTTTTAAAACTATTAAAGAAAATTTTTATTGGAGTATAGTTGATTTACAATGTTGTGTTAGTTTCAGTTGTACTGTAAAGTGAATCAGTTATACATATACATATACCTACTCTTTTTAAGATTCTTTTCCCAAATAGTCATTATAGAGTACTGAGCAGAGTTCCCTGTGGTATACAGTAGGTCCTTATTAGTTATTGAGTATATATATAGTAGTGTGTATATGTCAATCCCAATCTCCCAATTTATCGATACCTCCCCCTTTCCCTGCCTGGTAACCATAAGTTTCTCTTCTACATCTGTGACTCTATTTCCATTTTGTAAATAAGTTCATTTGTACTATTTTTAAAAATATTCCACATATCAGCAATAATATATGATATTTGTCTTTCTCTGTCTGACTTACTTCACTCAGTATGACAATATCTATGTCTATCCATGTTGCTGCAAATGGCATTATTTTTTCTTTTTTATGGCTGAGTAATATTCCATTGTACATATGTACCACATATTCTTTGTCCATTCCTCTGTTGATGGACTTTTAGGTTGTTTCTATGTCTTGGCTATTGTAAATAGTGCTTCAATGAACATTGTGGTACATATATCTTTTTGAATTATGATTTTCTCCAGATATATTCCCAGGAGTAGGATTGCTGGATCACATGGTAGTTCTATATTTAGTTTTGTAAGGAATCTCCATACTGTTTTCCATAGTGGCTGTACCAATTTACATTCCCACCAACAGTGTATGAGGGTTCCCTTTTCTCCACACCCTTTCCAGCATTCATTGTTTGTAGATTTTTTGATGATGGCCATTCTGACTGGTGTGAGGTGATACCTCATTGTAGTTTTGATTTGCATTTCTCTAATAATTAGTCATATTGAGGAAAAGAGACATTTTTAAATAAGCTTTCCTGTCTAAGAAAATATATTCCTCTCTCTTTGGACAAGTTAACCCCCAGCTGGGCTGGTGGTTAATGAACCCTAGGTCATTCATGCTTGAAGGCAACTTAGAGATCATCTAATAGTCACTCATCTGCCTATTTGCTTTACAGGTGAGAACCAGGAGGTGAAGTGACTCACCTAAAGTCACCTGGGTGCTAAATGACAGAGCCTGGTTGCACCACAGGTATCCTGACTCCAAGCTCAGTGCTCTCTTTTTTATATTGTGCTACTTGTTTATAAGGATGCTTAGGGGAAGGGTAGAATTGTGAGTTTCCAAAGGCCTGATGAGAGTGATGAAAGAATCTGGAGTCCTGAAGTCACCTGGGCTCTTTCACAGCTATGTCCAGTCAGTGTTTCTTGGAGAGGACACAGCTTCTTTAAAAAGTACCTTTTCATGCTCTGTCCGGTGAGGAAAATGTGAAATGTGGTGTGTCAAAGTCAAGTCTGGAGTGAGGGCTTCAGTGAAGAACTGGATGTGCTGAAGTCAGGAAGAGTGACAGGCTTCAGGACACCCTGTTGTCTTGAGATTGAGAGAGTCTGGCAAGGGCGGGGCCTGTCGTGAGTATGTGAGGGTCAGTGGTAGGGCTGCTTCTTGGGCCTCATGCTCACTACCATCCCAACTGAGTGGTTCAGATTCAAAGAATGACAGTGTTTGGATGATGTAGGAGGCAGTTATCCTCATCCCAGGAGGAAGGAAGCGTCAGAGAGAGGTGTTCAATGAGGAGAGAACATCAAGATGTTTGTTATGGGTTGAACTGTCACACAATTCATATACTGATGTCCTAACTCTAATGCCTCAGAGTATGACCTTATTTGGAAATAAGACTGCTGCAGATGTAGTTAGTTAAGATGAGGTCATACTGGAGTAGGATGGGCCTCTAATCCAAACTGACTGGTGTCCCTATGAAAAGGGGAAATTTGGACACAGACACACATACAGGAGGAATGCCATGTGAAGATAAAGACAGAGATTGCAGTGATGCTTCTACAAGGCAATGAATGGCAAAGATTGCCAGCAAACCACTAGAAGCTAAGGAAGAGGCATGGGGCAGATTCTCCCACACAGCTTACAGAAGGAACCAACCCTACTCACACCTTGATCTTGGACTTCTATCCTCCACAACTGTGAGACAGTAAGTTTCTGTTGTTTAAGCCAGCTCGTTTATGGTATTTTGCTATGGCAGCCCCATCAAACTAATAGAATGTCATATAAGTCAATGCATAGAGTCTTGAGATAAATAAATAAGATGAAAGGGGCCAGAGACTTGGCTGGAGGAGGGAAGGGTAGGTGGGGTGACCTTAGCTTATGGTAAACTCTAGTGGGAGAATCACAATGCAGGCCCCTGGGATCCTGGAGCAAAGCCATGCTGTCTTCAGTGGAGAATTATGCACCCTTTGAGAAATAGCTCTTGGCACATTACTGTAACCTGATAGAAGCAGAGTACTTGGCCATAATCATCAAGTGACAATGCATCTGGAACTGCCCATTATGAGCTGGGTTCTGTCAGACCTCCAAACCATAAAGCCAAGCAGGTCCAGCAGGCATCCACTGTGGTGTGGAAATAGTACATCTAAGGTTGAGCCCTAGTAGGACCAGAGGGCATGACTAACCTGCACGTTTAAGTAGCCCAGACCTGCTTGTCACCCACTACAGTTGGATCAATGCCCTTCTCCGACTTGTGCTTATGGCCATAGAGGAGAATCCCTTATGACCAGCTGGAAGAGGAGGAAAAAGCCTGAGCTTGGTTTACAGATAGATTAACTCAGTACATGTGTGTAAGTCAAAATTGACAGCAGCTGCATTTCTCCCACATTTAGGGTTGGCCCTAAAAGACAGTAGAGAGGGGAAAGTCTTCCCAGTGGAACTACAAGCAGTGTACCTGATCATCTTCTTTGTAGGAAAGGAAAAGTGTCCCAAAGTGGATGGCTAATGGCCTGGTCTGGGGTCAGAAAAGAAAAGGAATAGAGGAACACAGGCAAGGAGGTCTGGGGTGGAGGCATGTGGTGGACATGTAGGAGTGGGCATAATGTGTGGAGATTTTTGTATTGCACTTGCACTCACAAGTAAGTGTCCGCCATCAACTGTATAACCAAGTAGATCAAATGACTTGTTCTGTGAACCTTAGCCAGCCTTCATCATCAACCACTGATGGCTGGTATGATGGGCTCATAAGTGGAGTGGCCACAGTATCAGAGAGGAAGATATGTGTGGACCCAACTGCATGGACTTCTACCTACCAAGGCTGATCTAGCTACTGTTGCTTCTGAATGTCCCAACTGTTAGCAAAAGAAACCAATTCATCCTGGCACTAGTCTTCAAGGAAACCAATTGACCATTTAATGGCAAGTTGACTACATTGGCCTGCTTCCACCTTGAAAGGTTCAATGATTCCTTCTCACAAGGATAAATATCTTTGCTGGTATGGGTTTGCCTTTCCTACCAGCAAAACCTCAGCCAGAATTACTATCTAGGTGTTTATAGAATGCCTGATCCATAGGTATGGAACCCCACACAGTACAACATACAATCAGAAGATCCACTTCACGTTGAAGAAAGTGTGAGACTGGGACCACAACTAGCAGATATATTTGTTTTATTACATACTACATACTCAGAGGCAGCCATCCTCATGGAACACTAGAATAGCCTTCTATCAGTACAATGGAAGCCCTAGCTTAGAGGAAACATTCTGAAGCGATTGGATGCCATCATTCAGGATGAAGAGTATTTATTAAATCAGTGACTCTTATGTGTTGTTCCGTCTCCAATAAGAATTCAAGGGTCCAGGAACCAAGGAGTAGCAGCAGGGGTGGCCAAATTTACCATCATACCAATGACCCATGGGGGGATGTTATATGCCTTGTTCCTGCAACTTTGGGTTCTGCAGGGTTGGAGGATTGCTGAAGAGGTGAACCCTTGTCATGGGTCACAGCAAGTGTACCATTGAACCACAACTCGCAGATGCTCTCAGGGCACATTAGGTTCATTGTGCCCAGAGACAACGGGCAAGGAAAGGAGTCACTACGCTTACAGGGGCAAGTGACTTTGACCAGCAGGAAGATGCAGCTCTGCTTTTACACAATAGTGGCAGGAAAGAAGACACATGGAATCCAGATGTTAGTAACTAAACCTGTCCCTCCAAAATCCATATGTTGAAGCTCTAGCATCTAGTGTGGCTGTGTCTGGAAATGGGGGTCTCTAAAGAAGTAATTGAGGTTAAATGAGGTCTTAAAGATGGGGTCCTGATCTGACTGGACTCTTATCCTTACAAGAAGAGACACCAGAAAGCTCTGTCTCTTCATGTGCAGGCACCGAGGAAAAGCCATGGGAGTAAACAGCAAGAAGGTGGCTGTCTACAACAAAAGGGAGAGCTCTCATCAGACGCTAAACCTGCTGTCACCTTGATCTTGGACTTCCACTCTTCAGAACTGTGAGAAGATAAAAATTTATATTGTTTAAGCCCCCCAGTCTGTGGTATTTTGTTTAAAGCAGCCTGAGCTAACACACTGGGTGGTCCACTTGGGTCTCTCCTTGTGCTCCTTTACCACATTGTAAGTATGAATGGACACATGCAATCACCCTGGCCTGAGATGAGTGATTATCATGGGTTCATAACCCTCAGGAATGAAGGTTTGGGTCACACCACCAGGGAAGCCACCAAGACCTGCCAAAATCTTGATGAGTCATAGTTGAGCTTGAGGAAAATTTAAAAAAGGGTAGTGGAGCAGGGAGAGGGTGGTATTTGTTCTGACCCCACAGTCAATTGCAAAGAGAGAGCAGTAATTCACCCTGCTAACCTCCCTCTTCTGATTCCCCCTCAGGAAAAAAGGCCTCCTGGAACCATGGGGGAGCTGCTGCCCAAATCTTGTAGAGAAGTAGATTTGTTTGGTGGAAGGGATAGGCTGTGGTGACCATGAGAATAAGCCTTGCAGACCTCCAACTACAGGGAGCACAGATGCCTAAGGGTGCTAGTTGTAAAGCCCACCACCACATTTGCACTGAGGCTCCACTTCCCGTGGGCTGCTCCCAGTCAATGAATGAGTGTCGCAGGTATAGTAAGGAAGGTCCATTCTTGGGAGACACAAGATCCTCTGATGACTGACATCGGCTGGAGGACTCCTAAAATTTCCTCAGATTGTATCATCCTTTAGGATACTTCTACTCAACATTCTATTCCTCTGGCCTCCCTTTAGGGTCAAACTTGCATCATGGTCTGACTGTTCTTCTAGCTTTATCTGGACCCTACCCATTTTTTCCCCTCATAGATATTTCCCCTGAAAAATCCTTGCAAGTTTAATCTTAGTCTTGGCATCTTCTTCACAGAGGACCCAGAATAACACAGTTCCTTTAACCCTTGCTCACACCTCTGTAAATAGATCTTCTATAAAACATCTCTTTAAACATCCCAGCTGACTGTGACATCTGTTTCCTGCTGGGACCTTGACTAATATAGATTGCTGTGGACCATAAATGCTGTAACATTCCGAAGGAGAAAAACCAGTGTTAGTGTGGTAAGAATAAATAGCAAGGAATAAATGTGTTCTGAAATATGGGGTTGATCTGGGGTTAGAGTTTGATATTTCAGATAGGGGTATGTGTGTGTGTGTGTGTGTGTGTGTGTGTATACAGCATAAACAAAGGTACTGGGGTAGAAACAAGCAGTTATGGCAGGGTCTGTTCAAGAGCCCACACTGTTTTTCCAAGGAGCTCCACCTGTCCTATGGGAGAAGAGCACTCAGAATGCTCATTTCTCTACGTTCATTGCTTGGAACCTGTGAGGAAGCCTCTACCTTTCCCCCTTTCATCACTTCATTTTGTATATCTTTCTCTGTGCACACATGAGCTCTTGTTAGAGAAGAGCTGAGTCAGTGGCCGTGGGACTCCTTGGAAAGCACATGGAAAAGGGGAAAGGAAGACAGGGAAGAATGAGTATCTTGACATTCTGGGGTCAGGACATTGGGAGAATTGGGACTGAATAGCCCCATTTCTTAGGATCCCAAGAGGGCCAGCAGTTTCCTTTAGAATTCAGAGGCTGAGGGAAGGTTGATTTCACAAGAGGCACAGAAAACAGAATTCACAGAGAGCCAGGGAATTTACAGATATTCAGACAGAGGCTTCTAGAATTTAAACATCTTTAAGCCAAACTTTCTTACTGAAACTATTTTGTTTATGTATTGTATTGTTTATGTATTCATTCATTCAGCACACATTTACAGAGCACCTACCACGTGCCAGGAACTGTTCTAGGCATTGGGGATGCACTGGTAAGACAAGATGAAAATCCCTATCCTCATGGAGCTTCCATCCTTGTGGGGGAGAGACAGACAACAAATAAATAAACAAATAAAGCAGTAAAACAAATAGCATGTCAGAGGGTGGTAAGTGCTGTGGAGCAAAGCAAACCAGAAAGAGGAATAGACTGTGCATGGGTCTGTCTGGGGCAGCCACGGAAGACCCTACAGACAAGGCAACATAGAACAGAGACTTAAAGGAGGGGAAGGTTCAATGCCCAATGGGTTCCATGGGGAGTGGTTCATGCAGTGGAAAGAGCAAACACAAAGGCCTGGAAGCAGGGGTGTGATTGGTCACATTAACATCTGTCTACTCCATGCATCTCCATGCTTGTCTACCTGCCCATAGATAAACTGTTAATTCCAGTCTTCAAGTTCTAGGGGTTTAAATTTCTAGACTATGTTGAAGTTATCTAACTGTAGGATCTAAGAAGCACCAGTGGTATAACAAAAAATTATTTCTCATTATGGCATCAGGCATGAAGTCCATTATCTCATGATCTGCATCAGGTTCAGAAGCAGATAAGGCTCCTCAAGTGTCTCCACAGATGCCCTTTCTCTTGGTCCAGGACTTCGAACTACTAAAAACAGGTAGCACCCTGGCTTTTAGAACTGGAAAAATTGAGTCCTGGTTCACTTACAGGCTGCACGGCCCTGAATAGTTACTTAACTTCTCTGAGCTTCTGCTTCTTTATCTATAGATAGAGATAATAACGCCTATGACACAAATCAGGGAGGAAATCAAATAAGACCGTGTATTATAAAGTGTTTATTTATGAATAGTTGGCTTTTATATAGCACAGATACACTAACTAAACTATTAGTCTATTTCTTGATATTTTAGTTATTATTATCTAGTTATTATTTGAACATAAACCATGTAAAAATATTGGCTTAAAACAACAATCATTTATTTGCTCGTGGTTCTGAAATATGGACTGGGCTTAGCTGGGGGTTACTTTTGTGGTTGCAGTCATCCAGCAGCTCGATGGAGGCTGGATGTCCCAAGAAGGATTCACTCACATGCCTGGTCTCATTCACATGTCCCCAGCTAGGGCTTTTGGCTGGGGTTTCTGGTTCTCCTTTACATGGTCTCTCCCTTCCTGGCAGGATAATCAGTTTTTCTTTTACATGGTGACAGTCGCTTTTCAAGAGGACGAGGATAGCAGCTGTTTTGAGGCCAGGGCTCAGAAATCACACAATATCACTTTTGCCACATTTGATTGGCCAAAGCAAATTACAGAACCAACTGAGATGCAAGGGGTGGAGAAATAGGTTTCCCACTGCAATGGAGAGAGCTGCAGAGTCACATTGCATGGGTGGAAGAAATGGGCCATCTGTAGAAACAGTATATGACAGTCTATCCCCTGGTCTCAGCAAATCACTCCCTGGCATGTGCAAAATACACTCACGCTTCCCAAGGCCCCCCAAAGTTTTATCTCATTATGACATCAAGCTGGAAGTCCATTATCTGATGATCTGCACCAGGTTATCACATAGATACGACTTCTCAAGTATGGCTTTTCAGATGCAGCTTCTCTCTTTTTAAAAAAGTTTTATTTATTTATTTTTAGCTTTTCTTTTTTTTAACATCTTTATTGGAGTATAATTGCTTTAAAATGGTGTGTTAGCTTACTGCTGTATAACAAAGTGAATCAGCTATACATAAACATATATCCCCATATCCCTTCCCTCCCTATCCCGCCCCTCTAGGTGGACACAAAGCACCAAGCTTCTCTTGATACAGAGACCTTCAACTCTTCAACTTAAAAGATAAGTGAGTATTCTATCCCTTCACCCCTAAAACACAGTAATGAGAAAGGAACTAGATAGACCCTACAGCCACTCTTATTTAAAATGGATAGGATGGGAACCACAGAGCAGTCACTAGTTTACAGAAATTATGAAGTCCAGCTGGTCACATGTTGGTTTCCCCTATAAGGGTCAGAAAATGTTCCTTGATTAGGACATGATTCTGCTCCCTCAGAGGGATACCTAGCCAATTGTTCTCTGTGGCTTTTAGGTCTTCCCTCTGGGCTCTTAGCTCCACCCTCTGAGATGTATTTTCTTTCACATAGGAAATTATGCATGTCTGTAGCTAAGTAGCCTTCTCAGTCTGATCCCTGCTTGCAGAAAGTGGAGGTCCAGTGGCCTCTTTTCATTTTGAATGATCTCTTTCACTTTTAGTTGAACCTTGTAATGCTTTCATTGATAAAACTCTCTTAAAACTTTTGTGCATTTACTAGGAATCTTATCGGGATTAACTTTATGCCCTCAAGACTTTATCTATAATTTTTTTTGAGACAGACCCCTCTCTTTGAGCATATCAAGCTGCTGTGGGACAATGCCCTCAAGATTCTCAGAAGTCCGTTTATCTAGTTGAGAGGGTCTCCTAGGCACTTCCTTTCAGAGGTCTTACAAGCATACCCCTGATTTGATCTTTATGCTGAGGTCACTTTTTATGTGAGAATTTTTGCCTGGCTGGAGATACTAGGGATGAAAAACAGTTTAATTTTTTCTAAACCAGGAATTTCTGGGCTCTCTACATTTCTCCTAAAATATGCTTGAATACTGAACAGTTTCTCTTTTGGCTTATCTCTCTTGGTGGTATCTAATCATATACAACTGGAAGCATCTAGTTGATGCCTTCAACATTGTGTCTAGAAATTTCCTTAGCTAAATCCATAAGTTCATTAGGTACTTTATAGTTTTTAAGTTACTGCAGGCAACATTTTTGCCAATGATTCTGCTACTACATAACATAGATTGTCCTTTTCCCAACTCCTGGTAACAATTTCCTCACTATATTTTTAGCATACACTAGAAGATTGTTCACCATTTCTCCAGCCTCTGCTGACAATCTATTCACTGCTTTCCCAGCTCCTATCCTCTGGTTTGTCACAAAGCCAATACCACATGTTTTAGATTTTTGTTATGGCAGTACTCCCCTTCTAGATAAGAATTGCATTAGCAGTTATCTAACGCTGTACAACAAATCACTCCACGTTTTTGTGGTTTCAAACAAGAACCATTTATTTGTTCACTCTTCTGTGGTTCAGTAATTTGGGCAGGCTTAGCTTGGATGGCTTATCTCTGTCCCGCATGGTGTTGGCTGGGTTCAGTCATATGCTTATTATACTCAGTTGTCAGTTCGTCTGGGAGCTGGCTGATGGAGATGGCCTCGTGCACATCTTCCAGTTGGCTGGGGCTATCCACAGAGACACCTCTATTCTTTTCTGTGTGGCCTCT